TCCGCACCGCCTCCTCGGGCGTCGCCCACACGCGCGCCTCAGGCCGCTCCAGCACCTCCGCTGCCCTAACCCAGGCCAAGCCGCTGATGCCGGTCATAAGGATGTCAAACACCAGGTCGATGGCTGTCCCGGTGTCCCACCGCTGCCCGGCCACCGTAGCTGTGACGTACGCCGACGCTTGGGTATTGCGCACCCTGAGCGCCTGCACGCACGGGCGGCCGTGTGCACACGTGGCAGGACAGTGCTCACAGGTCGCCAAGGAGAGGGAGCCGGGGCCGCAGCGCGCGCGAGCAGGCAGATGCACACGCAACACACAGCTGGGCTTAGACGGCTAGAGGCGCCCCGGGCTGGAGCTGCGGCAAGCAAGGGCGGGGCGGGTCAAGCCGGGCAGCAGGCGGCCCCGCGTTGGCTGCATCTCAAGGACTGCGTGGGGGATGGATGACGCGGGGACGTGGGGGAGCATGGCTTGCGCAAGCAGCTTCCTGGCAGCTACATACGCACTTGAGAAGGTGGGGGTCTCCTCCAGCGGTACTCGTGCCGCAGCTGCACCGGGCCGTCGGGCGCCAGCCCAGCTCCCTGCAGCTGCAGCAGCAGCGCCGCCTCCGCCATCAGCATCGGCGCGGGCAGGCAGCTGCCCGGGGCGACGAGCGAAACCGAGTGCCCGACGGCGAGGCGCAGCGCGTCCGCGCCCAGCGGCGGCAGCGGCGCGGCGAGCGCGTCGGCCGCGCGGACTGCTTTTGAGGCTCGCCACGCGCGGATGTGCGGCGTCTCGGAGCCCCTTGGCGTATCCGGGGATGCACGCCTGGGCGTACGTCATCAAGAAGCGTTGTTCATCAGCGGTCACGGCGCGAGCGGCCGTGAGCAGCTGCTCGCCGGGCGAACACCATTCTGCGTATGTGTACGTGGCGCTCACGCGCGATTCGGGGTCGTCGCCAAATCCCGAGATGGAGGCTCGCATCACGTCGCGCGGCTGCGGCAAGGTGCCCGCGCGCGTGCGCGGCGGCTCCCGCGGCGGCGGCGGGCTGCGCGGCAACTCCGCCTGTTGCCCCGCTGGCTCGGGAGGGCCGGCGGCGTCGGGTTTGGGCCCCAGCAGCTGCTTCGACTGGTCCGCCTTCGCCGCCCGCCACGGCTTGCCAGCAGGCTCGTCCAGGCCGCTGCCGCGCTTGCGGCTGGCGCGCACAGGCGCGGCGGCGCTCCTCAACTGCTGCGGCTGGATGATATGGGCGGGGTGCCGCGCAGCGCAGGCTGCGCGACCGTGCGCGCTAGCCTGCATAGTAATTATGAATGTATTTCGATGTATTCGATGCAACAATTTCACCCTCAATTGTCTGCCTACGTAGCGTCCCGGCGGACGATCGGAGATCACTTGGCCGGCACCTATAACGTTCGCATAAACGAATAGAATGTTTGTGTTATCACTCTTACAATTGGTGTCAACCCCCAACCCGGGGTGCTGAACGTCCCACTAGGAGCCGCATCCTGCAGAGTCCCTCGGCCAGCACACACTCATACACTGGAGGCAAGCTGACAACGCACCCACCGAGCGAACCAAGAGGTCGCAAAGCATTTTATCGAGAGAAGTGTCCCCTAGTGCGTCCTGCTGATTATCAAGATGCGTCTGACAGCCCCCACAAACGGCGAGGGACCCTGAACGCTGGCAGCTGTGTTGGGCGTTGACCGCCCTGGCGCCGGTTTGACTGCTGGTTGGCCGCCGCACTCAGTGCAGTACCCCTGCAGTACCCCAAGCCGCAGCCGGTGCGCGCGCACCACTGACTAAATTGCGGGACGAGCTTGCTGGCACGCCCGCCTGCTTTCAAAAAGTCCAAAGAACGCGATGCAACGCGCGGCGCACCGCGGTGGGGCGAACAGTGGCGCGGCCCTCCAAGTTCTTTGCAGCCTTGGAAAGTTGTGAAGTTGTTTTATAAAACGTGCAGGTATCTGAACTAAGCAGCGTGATGAATGCAGCGCGGTGCTTCTGATTCCGAAGAGTCGCTTCCAGGCATCGGGCCGTTTTGTGGATGATTGGTGCATTGACATGGCTTGGCACAATCAGCGTAGCCCCCGTACTGTCGTGTATGCAGATGCCACCAAACCGATTCACCATGTGCAGTTGTTTGCAAAACGCCGGCAATCACGTCACGCTCGTCGGACGGACGCACGAGCGCGTCCCCTGAACAGATGTGCGCAGCTGCGCGCAGGAGGCGGCAACCGGGGACCCAGATGACAGGGTGAACGCGTTTACAGTACTACGCAATGCTTTACCTGCGGCTGCTGCTCAGAGATGCAGCTGGCTCAAGCAGCGCAACTTGGAGGAACATGCCATGTCCTGCACCTACCACGCAAACATGGCCAAAAGCTCCAGTGGGTGCTTGGACAGGCAGCCACCCAACACATCACGTGTGCCCTAGGGATTAACAGAGTCCCTCGGAGAGAACGAACTCGCACACCGGCGGCAACGGTCCCACCCAGCCAGCCAAGGAGGTGCAAAGCACTAGCGTGTGAATGTGACGAGTCCCCTGATTGTACTCTGAAAGTTATCAAGGCGTGTCTGACAGCCCCACAAACGGTTGTCGACCTGGAAGGCTGGCAGGTTATCAGGGGTTGACTGCCTGCGATCACACGCACGCCCTTGCGCCGGTATGACTGCTGATTAGCCGCCACATGTAGCGGCGGCTGCTCTGAGCACCTGTGGGTGGCTGGGGATGAGCTTTGGAATAGCCGCCACAAAATCAGGTGCCCAGCCCTTGACCAAAAAATGCTGTCTTGGGTGGCAGCAGGCTGCTGTTGGTCCAGATGTGTACCCATGAGATTGAACAATCGTACACCTTTGCATTGGTGGCTGCATGCGGCTGGGAGTGGATTGCCCGCTGTGCTTACATTCACATCAAAGTTGTCATTCAAATATCCAATCTCCGTTTTTTCTTATTGTTACAGCTTTTCGTCCCCCCATGCATATTTTCTCCATGCCTTGGACGAAGTACAGATGGGGTTACTTTCATCCAGCCAACAGATGCAGACAACTATTCAGCATGTAGTGAGAAGCCCTTGCTTACTACCCACACCAGTCCCGCAGGACTGGAGCGCTCCCAAGCACAAACCCGCCATCGTGGCACACACGAATTCAGGCACATGCAGTGGCCAAACACCACGCAAAATTTTGGCGCCATAGGGATCCGTGTTTTGATTCAGGCCACCTCCATAGGTGTGCGGTGCAATTCTGATGAGCCGAAGATGCTTCATAGCAAGGCCTAGCGCCCGTACCAATGCATTGCAACATTATATTCATCACATCGAACCGCGTTGTGCATGAAGAGGCCACCAGGCCGAGCGCATCTGGAGGGCGGCGGCGCTGAGGAATTATTGCCGCAGCGCGGCCAGGCGAAGCTGGCGCGCAGCGCGGCCCGCCGGCTGGGCGCCGGGGTATTCAATGCGTCAGTGCTGTGACGGGTCCGAGAGGAGCCAGGGAACTCCATACACAGGCGGCACCAGAGGGGTTTGGGGCACACAGCCCAGCGCTTCCGAGCGCTTGATTTCACAGAAATCGCCCAAGAAAGACTAGCGCAGGCTGCGGGCCCTGTCCATTCAAAAACCAGAGAACCAAACCCAGGCCTTGGCCAGCAAGGGCGCACCATTGAGCCGCCGTCCGCAGCCGGCACGCCAGCATCGTGAGGGGCAGCCACAGCCGCGTGTGATAGCCGGTCCAGTGTTTGAACATATTCCCAGGTGAAAGGGGATCAGCGAGACGGATGAACATCTGCAAAGCCAGCACGCAGCCCCGTGCGCCCACCGCTGCACACAAGGTGCAAGGGCGGTGCACGCTGCCTCCTCTGAACCCTGCCGTCGCGCCCACTACAGAAGCTGCGCGCGTTCAAAAGGGTGTGTATTCACAGCAGCCAGCGGCAGGCCAACCGACGGTGCAGGGGTGGGCCGCCAGCATGCGGTGGGCGGGCGCGCCGCGGCGCGCGTTGGGGCTTCCCTTCGCGCGCCGGGGGCGCCCCTCATGAATTAGGTTGGAGTGGCGCGGCCTAGGCCGATTATGTTCAGGGCCAAGTGTAAGTGGTCGCGACCTGGGAGCCGGTGGCGTTGTAGGTGTAGCCGGGCGCCGAGGCCGAGTCGATGGTGAGGGTTGCGGCACCGCTGGGCAGCGTCGAGTTGGGCGACAGGAAGATCTGTATTTTGGGTGAGCAGGGGTTGCGGCCTCGTCAGCGATGCTTTCATAGAGATGGTATTGTGGCAGGGTGGGTCTCGGAGGCAGCGGTTCACAGTCCCTGGGCACTGCGTGTTTGGTTGCGCGTCCCATGCCGCAGTACAGGTGAATCTGTCTGTGCAAAGGCAGCACTGCCAGCACCAGTCCCTATCACGCGCATATTGGTGTGGCATGCCTCGCCCCTCCCCGCCCCCATAGGAAACCGCACCTGGAACGTGCCGGTGGAGGAGGTGGTGTAGGTGACGTTCCGGGAGGTGGTCGTGGGGGTGGAACCGGGTGACGCCCAGGTGTTGCCCAGGGTGACGGTGGCGCCGGTGACCGGCGCGCCGGCCTGGTTCTTGGCGACGAAGGTGGCGCTTATGCTGTAGCTCGTCACCTGGGTCGTCGTGCCGAGCACCACGCGCGGGGTCGTGCCCTTGACGACGGTCGAGCTGGCCAGCGAGAAGGTGATCGACTTGGGGGCAGAGGGGTACTCCAGGGCAATGCCGTACTCGCCGAGGGACGCATAGTTGGAGTAGTCGGTGTCGCCGACGCCGGTCGCGGAGATGTAGTAAGTGCCCGCCGCCGGCAGGTTGAAGTTGAAGGTGCCGTTCAGGATCGCGCCGGCGCTGTTGAAGGTCGCGAGCGGCGCGCCGCCGGCGGCGGTGACGGCGTTGTGCACCTCGACGCGCAGGTCGACGTTGGCGCGGTGGTTGTTGAGCGCCACCGTCGGGGGGGTGACAGCGACGGTGACGCTGCCGGCGCCGGCGCCCGCAGAGAAGGACAGCCAGTCGGAGTCACCGGTGCGCTCAATGTTGCCGACGGCGGCGGACTTGCTGCGGGCGGGGTCGGCCGCGGGGGTGCCGATTAGGGGGGAAGCCTGCAGGAAGCTGTTGCCGTGGTCGTCGGCGCGGTAGGCGAGGAAGCCCAGGGCGTTGACCATCTGCTTGGTGGGGTCGGTGATGATGGCCAGGTCGTCCTGCTGGTTGTTGGCGTTGGGGTACTCGCCCTTGCTGAACTGGGAGATGTTCTTTTTGTAGGCATCCTACGGGGGGGATAGGGGGTGGATAGCACGTAAATGGGGATTAGCGCTGGTCAGGTTGGGGTCTATATGCTGCGTCGCGCCTGTAGCTGCCAAGCCTCATGAGATTAGGCACTGCTGAGCGGCATTTTTGCTACGGGGGCTACCGTGGGTGTGGGAGCGATGGGAGACCTCAACAGGGGCCGAGCCGTGTTTCAAACGCATTTTGATCCCCGGTTGATGCAAGCTCAACCCCCCGCGGCAGCCCAAGCCCCAAGCCGCTTGACACAGCACCCGTGCTGCATCATCAAGGCAGCAGACCAATCCAGGCAGCAAGCCGTGTGGGAGCAAAAGCACGTGCACTCACCCCCATGATGGGCGCCCAGACGCCAACACCCTTGGAGTACTCAATGCCAGGCTCGCCGTCGTGATCCAGGCCCAGGGTGTGCCCGACCTCATGGCTTGTCGCCTCCCACACGTGCTTGGGGTTGCCCTTCTTCAGCTGAGCGGGGAACACGAAGGCTGCACGCGCGCAAGGAGGGGGCGGAGGGGGGAGATGTGCGCGGCCCAGTGAGAGCAAGCGGGGCTGGCAGATACTCTGACTGCTGGGCAGGCGCGCGCGCAGGTGGCCAAGGAGCGCGGGCAGCCGAGGAGCGCGGCGCAGGGGCCTCTGCTGCCCCGGCTTAGCCTGCCGCTCTCTGCCCTGCGCCGTCTCTTAGCAACTCATGCAAACGGGTGCCGTCCCCGCTCACCGGGGGCCAGGAAGTCGCTGCCAAACCCGTTCACGTATGCGATGCCGCCGGCGCCGCCGCCGAACCAGTCGTTGGCGGAGCCGCCAATGACGGCGCGGATGCCGTTGTCGACAAGATTGAGGTCGGCACCGTTGGCGTCTGTCTCCTGGGTGGTCACATCCACCTGTGGGGGGGTGGGGGGGCGGTTGGGGAGAGGAGGCGGCTGCATCTTGGGTGGGGAAGAATGGAGGGGCAGCCCTTGGGTTTGTTTGCAACAACCGCGCTCGTTAAGAGGGCGTGCAGCACGCGTGTGACAACCGCCAGAGTCTTGCAGAGACAAATCAACGACGCATCGTTATACTGCAGCCCATTCATACGCGTGTAAGCGACTGACAAACCCGTACGCCCGCAATCTGGACAGCTCCAGACTCAACCCTCCCCTCCTCTCCCGACCCCGCGCTCACGTCAAAGGCAGCGAAGTCCTCGGCAACGCCGCGCCAGATGGAGATGATGTTGCTAAGCTCGGTGTTGCTGAAGGACCCGGGGACACCGTCGATGTCGTAGGGGGGAGTCACGATGGGATCGAGGCCGTAGTCGTCGTTCCAGCCGGTGCCGGTGGTGATGTGGCCGGTGAAGTCCAGCACGATGCGGCGCGGCGCGCCGGGGCGGCTGTGCAGCTTGAACGCGAGGGACAGGTCGGTGGGGTCGGCATTGGTGGGGGGGATGGGGCCGACGTCGCCGGGGGCGGCCTGGGGGCCGGGCTCGGCGCCCTCAGGGGCGGCCAGGCCCTTGCAGGCGTAGAAGAGGCGCTTGCTGACGAGACCGAAGCCAAGGTCGGCGCTCTTGGAGAGGAGAGACAGGAGCTGGGGCGCAGTGGTGCCGGTCTTCGCGGCCACCTTGTCAATCTCGGTGCCGATCGCGGCAATGGCGCTCCTGCAGGGGGAGGGAGTTGAGAGGGCGGCGATAAGCAACTAAGCAGCGAGGTGCTCGGGTGCACTTTTGAGCATGTGTGCTGGTCCTGGTCACCGACGGCTGGTGGCAGCTGGCAGATCCGTGCGCGTCGATCGCAGGCTGAGCACGACCCCGGTCTTTTTATTCGTAAAACCCCCAGCAGTACCCTCAGAAGGCCCAGCACGTGTCACTCACTCGCCAAAGGCCACTTTCGGGAGGCCGGCACCAGAGACGCAGCCAGCCGACACCATCAGCAGCATCATGGCCGCCATCAGAGAAGACACCATCTTGAAGTGTGCCTTGTCACACGCAGGCGGCGAACTTTGCGTTTTGCCGGCCAGTAACAACGACCGAGCGCTTATGGACTTTCAGCGACGTTGACAACGCCGCGAGACGAGCGATCGATATCTCCAAAAGCACGTACGTATCACAGTTGGCAGCTCGCGAGCATCGGTTGCCCGTTCAAAGCCCTGGGCCTGTGTCCCGCCACCTTCACCATCAGTCAATCGCGTTGCACACCAACGTTACGCCCGGCTCCCACGACATAATTTCTGCAATGAATGGATCCAGATGTTACCCTGCATATGCCTTGATGTTTCGGGTGTACTGCCTCACAATGACACAATCAGGAGTCAGCCTCCAGCAATCTGACCAGCTCGCTTTTCCCCGGGCGTGTTCGTGCCCGCTGTCCCCTGTAACAAGACATTGCATAGTCCATCAAATGTGGCTTGTCTTTTGAGCCACATGCTAGACTGTTTGCGCCTCCTGCATGTGGAGATAAGATTTTGTGAGTCATTGGTCCTATCCCGTGAGGCGTCATGATTCCTGCTGCGCGCCGTCATGCCCCCCGTAATTGCCCAAAATCCATTCCTCCCGCCACATCACCACACACCCCCAGCGCACCACACCCAGCCCTTTGGCCTTGCCCTGCTCAGCTCAACATGCACGCGTCACGCCTGCAGCTTGGCCAGTTCCACGGATCGCGCAGTGGGTCACTCCCGGGAGCAGGCTTCGCCATGTTGCGCAGCGTTGACGCACGGCACCTTCTGCTGATTCGGTGACGCAGTGCCTCCCCCCCCCCACCCCCCAACC